TATGAGGGGGAGCTTGTGAGGGGTTTCACAAGGGTTGCTTCAAGGATCTCTCTACTTGTTCCTCGTCTAGATTTTCTCATCCGTAGAAGGGTCGGTAGAGGTAAGGAGTTAGCTTTTGGTTGTGGTTCTCTGCCAGCTTCAGGAGGAAGCAAAAGGAGGTAGGTTCTCTGCCTTGCCGGGGTGGCAAAAAGGAGGTTCTTGTGAGGGCTTCTCCGCCTAGCCGTGGGGGCTAAAGGAGAGTCACGTTTTGTAGTGCAATACTTGGAGGGTGCCTCCAAGGAGTGGACGTATGTCGAGTTGACCGAACCATTATAAAGTTCTGTGTTCTTATTTCTTGCTTCCGCACTTTTATTTCCGTATTTAATTTTTTGTGGTGTGATTTTGGTTTATGCGATTTGTTGTGAAAATAATTTTTTAAAATACCAATTCCCCCCCCCCCCCCTCTTGGTCAGCTTAGGCTAGTTCTATAGGGCTTAACATCCCTAACGAACTTTCATCCTCGGCCTCCAATAAACGTCGGACTTCTACTCAATGGCAGACCTTCACTCATCGCCAAGTTTCTACTCGATGTCGGACTTCTACTGGTTATCGGACTTTCGTTGGACATCTATTCTAAGATGAATTTCTTTCCATTGTTGGACTTCTACCTGATGCCGTCCTTCTGACCTTCATCGTCAGACAACAGTTCTTCCGACCTCCATCACCAGCCGACTACGGTCCTCCTGACTTATGTCAACCACTGACTACAGTCTTTTTGACCTTCATCGCTCGCCGACTACGGTCCTCCTGACTTATGTCGCCCACCTAATGCAGTTTTTCCGACCTCCGTCGCCCGCCGACTACGGTCCTCCTGACTTATGTCGCCCACCGACTATAGTCTTCCCGACCTCCGTCGCCCGCCAACTACTGTCCTTCTGAATTACCTCGCCCACCAACTACAGTCCTTCCGACCTCGGTCGCCAGCCGACTTACGTCTTCCGCAGACTATAATCTTTCTGACCTCCGTCACCACACTATGGTCCTCCCGACCAAACGAACACGTCAATAGTGATTCTTTGTATTCACATCATGTAATGTACTCTATATACATCAAGCTAAGGCAGTCCCCCAAGGAAGGGCCTCATTTGTAATCAACTGCAATACTAGTGGAATCATTCAAACTGGGCTAGACCCCGTGGTTTTGCCCCCTTTTCAGGTGTTTTCCACATAAAAATATTAGTGTCTCCTATGATGCTACACACTCTCTTATCTGATTGCGTGCCGGATTTCGTACAACACTAAAACTTTGAACTTTATATTTCTCTACCACCGCGAATACTCCATTATATAAATAAACAAAAATATATTGTAATACATAAAAATTAATTTCTTTAATATCAAAACTTAAATAAAAATATAAAGATAAAAATAAAAGTGATCTCAAATCACTTTTCAATTAATAAATTCCATTATAGTTACTACACTTAAATAAATTTTAATAAAAGGCTCCACATTTTAAAAATTTCTAATAAAAGGGGGTTTTCTTTTTTCTTTGGTTAAACCCCATGTAAAGGCTTACATCATGTCAATTCATCAAAAAGTGTTACAAATCTTTAAAGGGTGCTTACGAATGCTCAAAGAGCAAACATTAAAAATCAAAATAAGCCTAAGGAACCAATAATCCCTGCTAATTGCAACATAATACTACTAAAAAATGGGTGTTTTCGCAGTGGTTATTATCAGCAGTTTTCAAGCAGACACTAAAAGAAGGTATGGACAGTGGTTATTACCACTGGTAAAAAACTCCCGTATGACTCCACACTCTCTTGCCCCAATAAGCTCTTTCTACTCGTTCGACTGTTCCTCGATCTGCTCCATCCTTTTGAGCCCCCCCGCGCGTGTTTCCGTCACCACCAAATCAGTTACTCCACTTTTATTAGCCCTAATCCGCTCATTTTACTCAATGGGTAAGTAGTATGACATCCAACCCTTTGAAGTTCTAGGTGATTAACTTAGATTCTATTTGTATTAGACTAATTAGGTTATTGGCCCGAGGTTTACCTCTTAAACTTTAGATGATTGGCCTGGAGCTCAATCTTACTCTCATAGACAATAGATGATTGATCCAAATTCTATTATGCACTACTTAAGTGCTCCACCTTGTCACATGGAATCCACTTGGTCCATTGTGCTTTGATACCCATACTTAGTCCTAGATAAGCCTACCTTAGACAACCTCAAGTGGTCTAATGGACACTTTTTTTTAGCTTCATTATCGTCACAATGAGCTTCAATTCCATTATGCCCATTATATGTTAATTTGGCATAAAGGATCAAACAAGCCTATTTACCACTTAATTATTTTTTACTTAATTTGGCAGTTTGATGATGATGGTCCTATGGAAACAATCTGATGGTGATCTTTCGATGACAACGGTGGTCCTATGATCATGGTTGAGCAACAATAGTTTGAAGATAATGACAATGGTTCGATGATTGCCATGGTATGATGATAGCAATCGAGTAGTTACGGCCTGATGACGATGATTTAATGATAATAGTGACGGTGGATAGGTGATGTTCAGATGATGACGGTGCGACAGTGATGATCAAGCGTTGGCAATTTGATTGCATTAGTTACGTGCTTCGATGGCGGTGACTTGATGATGGTCCTCAATTAATATTTAAAATTTTTAATTGTGCTGTAAGTGCTTTATTTGGACTTATTTGGACTTAAATTGGATTACTTTTGTGTAGAGGAATATTTTGCATTTCATATTATAGTTTATTATGAGCTTTTTTCCCACTAGAATTCTATCTAGGATGCATTTGACTTTTTTAAATAATTGAGTTAAAATATCCTTATTATAATTTAGTTTGGATGGACTTAAAATATTTTTAAATTGTTTTTTTTTTTAATAAATGAAATATAAAGTTGAATGATTATTCATGCATTACACTCATCTCAATATAAAATAAAATAAAATAAAAAACCATAATGGATTTTTAAATTTATTGTCTTCCATTATAACTCAGTTACGCACATATAAGCACAAAGGTGTCCCACTATCTTTGTGAAATTATAGTTTAAGATTTTAATAATTATAAGGTCATTAAATTACACAAATCAGATGCAGCTGGAGCTCGACTTGTTGGAGAGAAAAAAAATACAAATTAAAAATTAAAAGCATCAAACATTCAAGTCTATCAATGCAAATACTTCAATTATAACAAGCATTAATTCCACTAGTTCTACATATCTATGGCAACATTAATAATAATAATCATAATTATAATGTTTTCCTTAATTTTCATTAGCAGAATTCTCATACAAAGAGGCTTTCATAAAAATTATCCATCAATAGGTCTTCTGCTTCTCCTCCACTTGCTTCTATCACAGCACATCACATCAAGCACCACAACGAGTGCCATCGACCCTCCAAATCCCACACCGAATAATATTCCCAGCACAATCATATAACTTTTATTCTTTGATGCTTGAGTACTTGTTGATGCTATAGTCTTGTTTTCAGTTGTAAATATTGTGTTGCAAGGAAACCAACATAATCCCTCATTTCCTTCAAAAGACGTGTTGGGGAAAGTGGAGAATTGACCTCCAACTGGAATTTTTCCTATTAACTTGTTGTATGAGAGGTTTAAATAATCCAAGAAATGCAAAGATACCAATTCCTGCGGGATCATACCAGAAAGTTTATTAACTGAGAGATCGAATGTCTCGAGCTGTAATAAATTCCCTAGCTGTGGAGGAATTTCACCTGTCAAATAGTTATGTGACATGTTGAGCACTTGAAGAGAAGTAAGTTGGCCAATGGTTGGAGGAATCTCTCCTTCAAAAAAATTATTGGAAAAGTCAATTGACTTGACAATCGTCCATATCTTCTGTATTATCATTTGTTGTCCCTTATTCATAATGGTTAGCAAAACCATGTAACTGATTGGGTGAAGTATTATAAATGTAACATCATTTTGTGTGTCTGCTCTGTTTGTCATCATTGACCTAAAATTACTGAAGCACTCAGCACATAAATTACCGCTAAAGTTATTGGATGAGATGTCCAATATATGTAGCGTAGAAAAAGTATAATTTGTTTCATAATTTTCATCAAGAGGCCCAACTAGCCCATAGAATTTATTATATCTTAGAACAAGGACTCTCATCGATGACATATTTCCCAACCAATAAGGAAATGTATCCTTCAAGTTATTATTCCCCAGATCCATCAACTCAAGTGATTGGCAATTGGACAGAGATCTCGGAAGCAACCCCTCTAATTGGTTGTCTCTAAAATTTAAAATTTGCAGCTCACATTTTGGACTAAACTCATCAGGGATGGTTCCATGAAGCAAGTTTCCTCTTAGATTTAGCACTTGTAGATCAATTCCATCCCTCAATAAACATGGTAGAATAGAACCTATTAAACTGTTATTTGATAAATCAAGCATTTGTAGTTGTGTCATGTTGCAGATGAATTGTGGGATTTCTCCAGTCAGGTTATTGTTTGCAAGAGAAAGAAATTTTAAGTAATTTAGGTTTGGAGTGGTGTTGAAAGAGATAAACGATGTTAGACGATTATTTGAGAAATCCATAAATACGGGTTCAATAAATGGGAGAGGAGGAATTGAGCCTTCAATAATGTTGGAATGCAAATCAATAACTCGAATTGGATGGAAGTCAGACAAATTAATATGATGCATTGTAACATGTGTAAACATGTTGCAAGATAGGTTAAGTTGCACAATGTTCCATATCAAGCTCGGTATTTCACCATAAATTTTATTGTTTGAGAGGTCCAAGAAGCTAATTTGAGGTTGGTATTTTATGAATGTAGGGATCTTTGTTAGATTGCAACTAGCCAGTGCTAATAATGATATATTGGGATAAGAAGATAGGGAAGATCCATGATCTGCTTCCCACGAACCTAAGGAAAATCCACTATTTGAAAGGTCTAATTTTTTAAGACTCACAAGACCTTTGATTTGCTCCAACTCCACCATGACTTCACTGAAATTGTTCGAAGCAAGGTAAAGGTTGGAGAGCTTTGATAATTGAAATAGGGACCTTGGAATTGGCCCTTGTAATTTACTGTTATTAGATAGATTCAAGGTCTCTAGCTGTGATAGATTTCCTATCGAAGATGGTATTATACCAGAAAATTGACAGCTTGAGAGATCTAAATCTTTTAAAAACTTGAGGTTGCCTATTGTATTAGGTAAATTTCCAGAGAAATTGGTATGATAAAGCACCAACCTTATTAAATTATTGTCAACTGAAAAATCTGGAAGAGAACCATACAACATCGGATTTTCTGAGATATCGAGTTGTTTCAAATTTCTCAGCTGAAAGATTGGTTTGGGAAAACCCCCGAAGAGGGAACTACCCCTCATGCTCAGCACCTCAAGTATCATGGTGGAATTTACAAAAGCACCACTCCATTCACTCCAATATGTTGAGAGATCAACATTGTCTAGATAAAGTTCCTTCAAGCTCCTCATGTTTTGTAAAAGTGTTGGTTTAATTGTGAAAGAAAGACTATTATTTAAGGGAATGTAATTTGAGGAAAGGTTGATGACAGTCAACTTTTTCAAGTGAGCAATACCAACGGGAACCTTCCCAACAAATCCACAATAGGAAAGATCAAGGCTCGAAAGATTTCCAAGTCGATCCCACCCAGAATCCGGAATGGAATTTCCAAAGAACGAGTTGGTGGCAAAATTGAGAGTGCGTAAAGATGTGAGATTGAAAAGGCTGGGATTAATCGTACCATCGAGTCCCTGATTACTTAGGTCGAGGCTTATGACCCGACTCCATTCATCGCATGTCACGCCCTCCCAGTTGCAACAATTTGTTCCTGGAATCCATGTATTGAATAGAAAGTATGAGAAGCCTTGCTTGAGCTGGAGAAGCGATGTGCTCTCAGCCTCAACACATTGGCCAAGAGCACTGCAGTTAATCAAAAAATGCCCAGAAAAAAGAGAAAGTGAGAGAAGTAGAAGGTGCAGGAAGGCCAAGAAGTTGATATGAAATGACTCCATGTGGAAGAAGGTGCAGGGGCATGATTTCCCTGATTTAAGAGTCAATATTTGGCTGTGTTAAATAAAAAAAAAAGAAGCCATTAAAAGTCGTCTCTTCGGTCAATATTTAAAAGTCAATGTTTGGCTGTGTTAAATGAATAAAAGTAGCCATTAAAGTCGTCTCTTCGTTCAAGACTTTTATATTATTTGATAATAAAATAAAATCCTTAATAATAATTTTAGTAAAATATTTATAAATAAAAAAGTAATGTACGACGAAAGAGTTGAACTTAAATATGGATTTATATCTCTTGTTCTCTTTTCTCACGCTTCTTCTAAGATATCTACTTCTATTTTGTTTCTTCTTCCTCTCATATATTTTTATGAATTTTTTTATTTTTTCCTTAATGGATGGTAGACTGGGAGACTTTGAAAAAACTTCTTTTTTTTTTTATATGTTGGACGGTGGAAGATGCAATAATAGAGATTCAATGACATGTCATAAAAAATCATCTTAATCGGACATGAATTTTGATGTAAATATGAATAAAAAAACTTCCAAAATTAAATTTGGGATCATCCAAGCTTTGATTTCAGCAAGATTATAGTCAAATGAAACAATCTCATGGAGACGAACCCAATGTCATCAAAATTGGTCTAATCTAAATCCAAATGGGTCAAAATCAGGGGCCTGGCACCTATTTAGAAGCTTCATAATATTAATTGGATGTTCAAATGATATTCAAATGTAAAATGCTTATAGGTGAATCGAGTAGCTCGATGATACAAATCCAATATGATTAAGATTGCCAAATTCTGACATCCTTAAAACACCCAAATACTCGATAAATATTTTATGATCAAACGAAACGCTACGAGCTATTCGGTGGAACACTCAAATTATCGTTCTTTTTTTTTTCACAAAATAAAATTTCATTAATCAAACAAAAACAGACGGATACAACAGCTGATAAAAGGGAAGCAAAAGAAAAATACAACAAATAAAATTAAAGGCGCAAAAAAGCTCAGGAAACGGCCGAAGCTCCCAGCGACCCAGACGCCTCTCACGGACCGTCCAATAAAAGGTTGCCACAAGCAAAACGACCAGGCCGCGAGCCCCGACCACATCATTGCCTATAGCCCATCGAAACAACGAATCAGCCAACCAAAAAATCATATCAATTCCGATGAGAGATGAAGAGAACGACAAACATGAAAATTCAACGTCGACGATGGCCTCTCCCCCAAAATTTCCCCTGAGTTTGAGCATTGACAATAGGTTTAGCACAAACCATCGAGAAATCATTACCAGGGTCCGAGTCCACTCCAACATCAGAAAATTTAGATTCCGAATCACCATCCGATTCACCAACCAACCAGTTAATTTGGTTCCTAATCTCCAAACCAGAACAATCACCCAAACAATTAGTCATAGATATTGCAAATTAATCAAATTCACAGGAACCTCAACAAGCCTGTTCACAATCGGACCACATTTCTCACTGACATCAAGCAAATGAGGCTCCGCCTCACCCATATCCGGTTCCATAACAACAATCGAGTTATCAGCAGCACCATCCACTAAAATATTAAAATTCTCAGTAGCGATAGCTGCCTTGATGACATTGCTAACATAAGTTAAAGCATTATGAACAAAAGGTGTAGCATTTGGAGATAAAACACCCGAAACAGCCTCAGACAAAACTCCTCCAACACATTTCACCCCATTTTCTACCAAAGCAGATTCAGGGTCATTTAAAACACATTGAACTAAAGTAGCTAGAACGGACTCAACCAAAGTAATAGGCGTTTCTAAATTTGTAGGAATAGTAGAAAGATTCAGATCATCATTAATAGTAATGCAATCAACCTCAGCACCCTCACGAAGCACCACCCCATCCAACACCAACGGCAAAGAGGAAACGATAAGTACAGTATCCAAAGGTTCAGACAGAACAACACCAGCTTTAACTTCATTTAATTCATCACCAACCGACGTAACAACAGGTAAATCCCGAGCATCAGAAACAAGTCCCCCCCCCCAATGCAGGAGGAGGAACATCAATAACCGGCCGGCACGTACCCTTAGCGTGCCCGATACATTTACACACAGAACAAAAATTAGGAAACTCGTCTAAAATCACATCCTGAACATAACCCAAAGAATCATAACCAAGTCAAACTTGTTTAGGATAGGATTTAGTGATATTAAGCTCAACTAACACATGGGCATTTGATGGACGAGAACCCACCGAAGTAGCTTCATCAATTTTTAAAGGTTTGCCAAAGATCTGAGCTAGACCAAAAAGAATACGTGGGGAAAAAAATGTTGGCGAAGGCGAGGAAACGAAATCCATATCGGAATAATCGGTGATTCCATGCCAATATCCAGAGTCGGAGACCATTTAGTTAACTTCATGTAGCAGTTGTAAACAAGGTAGGAACGATGACAAAACACCCTACAATAATCAAGATCGTTTGCTAACTTGATAAGGATGTGAGATTGATCTAACACAGCCAAGATTAATGGATCAAGATCATTCTTTTCTAACACCCTGCAATAATCAAGATCGTTCTTTTTCTTCTTATTTACTAGTCATGTCACTATAAAAAAATTATAAATAGTCACTCATTCTTCACGTGAAAGGAGATGAAAAAAGAAAAAAAAAACTATGAGAGTTGCTTTTTATGAAAGAATAAAAAACATATATATTTTTTTCTTTTTAGTTTAAATGGATGACATGATCTTTAAAGACTTAAAGTTTTCTTTCTAGATTACGATCTTAAAGAAATGGGCTATTTAGTTTGAAATCGGCTATTTTTTTTATAATTCCAATTCATTATTTTATTTTGAATTCAATCCATTATTTACCTGAAAGAAATAGGAGTGTCAATATAAGATAAGAACAAAAAATATGACCCAAATCCAACCATAAAAATCTGTATTCAAGTTGAACCGTTTAACAAATATTTCAGATTATTATTATAAAATATATGAAATATGAAACTTTAAGCTCATCATATGTCATTTTTTTTTACTTTCTTTTTGAGCAATTTTTTTATACATTTTGACTTCATTTTGAGAGTATTTTTTACTGTTTCTTAAAACATCTTTTTATTATACAAATTTTAATTTTTGTATAAAAAAGTTGCCCAAATGAAACCTTCATTCTAAAAAACGAGTTAATTAAATTAATTTTAATTAAGCTTAAATCAAACTTAACAAGCCAATAAATGTCAAATTCATTTCTATAGGCCATCTAATTAAATCCAATATTGATGGCGCTAGTAAGGCAAAGTGCGGAATCATGAATAACGTTTTCAGGTTGGCGGGTCATTTCAGGTTGACCTGAATCTGAATCAGGTCGGATTCGGGTTCAGATTCCCGAGCCATTTCCCTAATTAGGTCGAGTCAGCTGGCAGCGGGTCAAGTTTGGGTTGGACCTAAACCTGACCCTAAGACGGTAAGACCCATTATAACACCCCTATTCATTGATGTAGCTCATCAGTGGGGAAGCCCTGAAGTCTCTACTTAGAGGTATTAGCCAAGAGCATTACAATTAATTCAGAAAAAAAAAAAAAAGAGATCGTTTGTTGGGATTTTTTTTACTATAGTATTCTCTATTATTTAATAAGCTTGAACTTATTTAGAACATTTTATGAATCGTTTTCGAACCTATAAAAAAAACAGAGAAAATGAAAGAATTTGTTCGAGCAAAACGATCAAATTGATATGAAATGGCTCCATGCTATGATTAAAGATAAAAGGAAGAAGTCATGAGTTAACTCGATAATTAATCCTGTTAATAATTAAGTTCTATCATAATTTTTTTGAGCTTATCAATGGAGTTGTGACCAATAATACTTTTAATCAATATGGGGCAATATTTAAACTAAGATAAATTTTTTAAGTATTTTCCAATAATGGCAGTACTATGTTTCATAATAATTATAGTAAATTATTGCTAGAGTTTCACAAACATCTTAAACATAAAATTAAAAATATATATTTTTTTTTAATGAGAAAAGCCACTGAGATGAATAATTATACGGCCTACTAGAGATACAATTTTCACATAGATGTGAAAGTAATATGGAGTAGAAAATTTGCAATAGTAGAATTATATAGCGTTTAGCGTTCAAGTTTTGTATGAAGATTTAGCACGCATACATATAAGAAAGAGGGACGTAAGAGTCATAAGAGACGCCAAAAATTTTACATGAAAAACTCTTAAAAGGAGAAAAATCATGGGGCATGAAAAAATTATAGTTGTTGCTATGGCTTCTGTACTTTGCTATGACAGGATTCTTATAAGTTTTTGTTGTAATGACAGGATTCTTCGCCTCAAAAAAAAGAAAAACAATATAATTTTATAGTTTTTGTTGCTATCTTATAAGATTTTGTACTTATAGTTCTTATAGTTGTATCTTCAGGCTTTACTTATAGTTTTTGTTGCTATCTTATAAGTTTTTGTTGTAATTCACTTAAACAGCAACCTGTAAAAACTGAAGCTTTTTCTGTAAAAACTGAAGCTTTTTCTGATGAAACTGGAACCGAATTCCTGGAACTCTATTGAATTCTGGAACAGAATTCTGTGAACCGAATTCTATTGAATTCTGTGAACCGAATTCCTTTGAATTCTGGAACCAAATTCCTGGAACCGATTTCAAAGAACGAAATTTTGAAGCTTTTTCTGATAAACTGAAGCTTTTTCTGGAACCGAAATCTGTGAAACCGAAGCTTTTTCTGATAAACCGAATTCACTGGAACAGAAATCTGATGAAACCGAAGCAAAGCTTCTATTTCATTTTGATGATCACAAAAATTTAAAGCAAAAACAAAAAGGTTTACACAGAAATTTAAAGCAAAGCTTCTATTTCTTTTTGAAGATCACAAAAATCTAACTCATAACATCTTTTCCCAAAAGAAGTCAAACCTCAAAAAAGTAATCCAAAATGATATTGAACATTTACTTGAAAACCTTCACTATTCGAATACTCGTACTCATCTCCCAACTCATCTACAGCCCTTCTACTTTGCAACTTTGAACTCTTTGGTTGTCTTACTTGTGTGATAATTGTGTCATTCACCTCCACATTCTTATGTAATGGATTCTTACATGTACTTCGATGATGACCCCAAAGATTACACCTACTGTATTTATGTACTTTCTTGTCCTTTTCCAGAAAATTAGCCGATCTTCTTCTTTTGGGTCTTCCTCTAGGTCTTGATGTATTTGGCGCTCCAATCTCAACAGCATCGTGAATCAGTTGCCATTGGTCCTTCCCAGGTAACATGCCAATTGCTCCATCGTATGCCATCCTGTATCTAAATATCTTGGAATTAGTGTAGCAAGTGTGAAATGGAAATTGAAATAATTAAAGGTTGACGTTGAGAGTTACCGGTGCACGTAGAAGTATTCATGAATGTATGTATGCCATAGTGGATGCTCCTTCATCCCAATGAAAGCAATGGCATGAATGCAAGGAAGTCCTGTTAATTTCCATACTTTGCATGTACAGTCTCTACTCTCAACGTCAACAATATGCCTTGAATGTAACGATTCAACCTCAGCTTTGAAAGTAGTAGATTGGCGAACTATTAAATGTTCTTCTCTTGTAGTGATGTCTCTTATATATTCTTCAGCATAAGGAACTATTTCACATTGCCAACTCCAACTTGTCATTTTACGTGTAGCCCTTTGTTCCATGAGTTTACCACGAATCATGTCAATTAACTCAAAAACAGGTTTATTTCTAGCCTCCATTATCCAAGCATTGAATGATTCAGCAAAGCTATTGGTATTTGTACTGTGGTATATCTCATACATAAACTGACTTCGTGACCACTTGTAAGGTAATGAGATAAGGTACGCATAGACGGTGGGGTATGATACACTTAATTCAACGAGCTTGTCATTGTACTCTGTCGTTGTGTATGCATTAGATGCTCCCCAAACCAAACCTTGCAGTTTATGCCCATCTTTACAATGAAATTTTTTTTAATATTCTTTCATAAATGACGAATACAAATTCTATGCTCAACTGCAGGGTACACATCTTTAATAGCCTAGCCCAAGCCCTTCTCCATATCTGAAATGACTGCAAGAGGTTCTATGTGTGTACCAATGCTTTCTCCCAAGTTATGAAAGAACCAAAACCATGTCTGCTTAGATTCAGTTTCAACAACATCAAAGGCCAAAGGAAATAAACCGTTATTACCATCAAGTGAGGTTGCTAATAAAAGCATTCGTAAATGCTTGGATTTGAGGTGGCATGCATCCAAACTAATTAGAGGCCTGCAACCATACATGAATCCATCTGTGCACACCTTAAAACTTACATAAAATCTCTGAAATGAATTGTCATGTTGGTCAAACATATATGTGATATGTGAACCAGGATTTCTACCAATCAAATCAACATGTAGTGAAGGCACCCATTTATAATTATCATCAATAGAGCCAAATATACTTTCACGAGCTTGCTCCCTAGACCTCCACAACTTCATGTAAGGTAATGAAAGACCATACTCTTTCTCTAAATTGCTATTGATATCTTTTGGAGGAACGTCAGGATTCCTTTTGACCATCTCTTGAATCTCTTTGGCAACCCATGCAGATGTGGCTAGTCTATTCCCAGCACGGTTGATGCCTGGACACGTGTGAACACCATCAACTCTTCTAACTTCAAAAGTTTGAGCATCTTCACATAGGGAAGCTCTAATTCTCCATTGGCAACTTTGATAAGAACATGTAACAATAACACGTTTCTTATCACTAGCCTTAATCCTAACACCAAAATTCTCTTTGATGGCAACTGATCGCAAAGTATGCTTGAAAGATATTGCATCCGAAAAATATGTGCCAACAGCTATATCTTTATAACATAGACCTGGAACACTTGAAATACAATCATTATAGTCAAAAGAACTTTCAACCATCTCAGAATTTACGAACTCCCTTAGATTGGACTTAGATTCATGTACTGTAATAACTATCTCAGCACGCAAATTATCATTAGATACTTTTATGAACTCAGATGACTCAACGTCAGAATTTTGATCGTTGTATTCTTTAGGTGATGTTCCATATATGTAATAATGCATATTATATATATGGATGTCCCTTCAGCCAAGGACATATTCGAGCAATCTCGGCTCTAACTGCAAAAATCGTGAGTTGTCCTTTCTCAATTTTTACAGTCCTTTGTTTGCCACCATCGTATATCTTTCTATGTTGGTCATTGGTTTGAACCCATATTCCTCCATACTTAAATACAACAGAAATATACTCTTTCTTCTCTCCATATATTTTATTTCCAACATTGTCCTGCATTATCAATGATGGAAAAGTTATTTACAATTTTTAATGTGTTTCAAATCAATCAATTAATACTCATGAAGTAAGTCGTCTGAGAATACATCATGAATAACTGCTTCCACAATGATAAACTTTTCTTACTGCAACTGTGAAATACAAAATACATAATAAGCACAAATTAGCACAGATTTCTGTAAAATTAAAAAATACTGTAAAATATGTATAAACCGAAGCTTTATCAATGACAAACTTCTTTTAGGAGGAATACCGAAGCTTTATCAATGAAAAACTTCTGTTACTACAACTGGAAACTTCTTTTGCTTTTACTGTGAAATAAGCACAAATTATTTTAGATTGAAAAAAAAGGACGGCTTAATCCACTGCCAAGCTTAATAACCGGTATAGAAATGAAATAAGCACACTAATCCTACTGCTAAACGAGGAACGCCGGAAGAGAAATGTTCGGAGAAAAAATAGAACGCCGGAGAGAAATAGAACGCCAGAGAGAAATAAGCTTAAAGCGGTAAAAAAATAGAACGCCGGAGAGAAATGTTCGCCTGGCGACAAGCTTCTTTTCGGCAAAAACGGAGGGAAATGTTCGTGAGAAGCAGAACCTGCAGTTCGCCGGGATTGGGAAGAAGTTCGGACAAGCCTGACGCGAAGAGCTAAATTCGGCGGGAAGTAGACGTCCTAATGTAAGCGGTAGACGGCGCAGTAGACGGAGTGGTACAATTGAGGTAAAGTAGTCAAGATCGATTACAATAACCGTCCACTGGCATTAGCGGTAAAATAATACAATAATGATAAATTTATGCAGTAATAACAAATCCGTATAATAATAAGAATAATGTCTCAATAACATGCATTTCATTAGTTACATTAAAAAAGAAGTCCTAGCTATCACGATATTTTTTAGTATCAATATCCTGTCAATAACAATTGTTCGCTTAGTAAATAGAGTCGTCACTCTTTGCCGTATGCATAGTAATCATCTATTTATAACTCTAAATCATTATCACATGAATTAGTATACGATAACATCAAATTATACTATTTAAAGGAAAGTCCGTTAGTTCATGAGCATCATGTACAGGTCAATTAGTCTTCAACCAACTGATCAACTGGTCTTTACTTTCTTTACACACATTATAAAAAAAGTAATAGCAACCATCTATTATCTATCACATATTAATTTTTATTCTCAATATTTGTATTAGCAATATGCTTAAATAAAAATACTCAATTCATATATAGTGCAAATCTTCATAATTCAAAAACTTTTGTTTTACCTAGTGAAAGTCATAAATGTTACAGTCAAAATATCTAGGAATATCAGTGCAATAATATATAAAAAGTTGTGCGATAGAAGTTTAATAAATTCAAAGAAAATATAATAAAATCAATTTTGAGGAGAATCAAACAGTCAAAATATAAATCTTTGATAATAAACATAAGGTTAGAACCATTTATAACGATCTGAACAATTTTCAGAAAAGCAGCAAAGGATTCGAAGACAAAAAATACAAATTTATCTTACTCTCTGATGCGCTACAACTCAAACAAGAATTCAAAATTTTCCAATTTCAAATATCTTCAAAAATTCGGATGGTTACGTTCTCACTCCCATCTCTCTCTCCTCTTCCTTTCAATTTGCTTTATGCATAACAATCTTGAAAACTCAAGTAATGATTTCATCATATATTCTAAAATCAGTCTTTTTAATGAATTTCATTTTTTTAGACATTTTAGTCAATTAAGACAAATTCAAACACATCATATATGTAAGTAGGGGTGTCAATTTCTGGTCACGGATCGGGTTCGGGTCGAACCCGGAACTGACCCGGGTTCAAACGGGTCGACCCTAACCCGACCCGGGTAGACAAACGGGTCGGAAAACCGAACCTGGACCCGACCCGGCGGATGTCTTAGTGCTTTAAGCTTAAGATTTAATATATATATGAAAATATTGTTTTTGGCCAAGTGCTATGGGCTCAAACATCGCAGCACCGCATTCCGATTCATGCATGGCACCACCGCATCAAAATCTTAACGCAGTCACATTGAATTCATTTTAAATTTTCACGAGACTAGGGAACCAGAGCAGCAAAAAACTCAACGCCACAACACTCCAGATCATTATTTTAAAAAATTTCTTATTTTTTATTTTAAAATTATTTTCATAATTATCGGGTTGTTATATAAGGGATGGTGGCAAATACAACGCTTAGCTCTTATAAAGGATAAAAGATGAAAAAGCCATGAAGTTTGATTTGAGTAATTTCTCTGGTCATTAGAAAGACTTTGATGTGGTCTCCCCAGTGGTTGATCTCCTTGTGGCCAACCAAAGTTATTTTTTTAGTAAAGATTAAAAAAAATATTATTTTGAATGGAGGAGCGAGATGATTTGGAAAACTTGTAATTTGCTTTATGGATAACAATCTTGAAAATTCAAGTAATGATTTCATCATATATTCTAAAATCAGTCTTTTTTAATGAATTTCATTTTTTTTAGACATGTTCGTCAATTAAGACAAATTCAAACACATCATATACATAAGACTCAATTCCAAACTCTCTTCATTAATAGCTAAAGCTCCCAACTATCAGAATAAAAAAAAGTTGTGTTTCAATCAATTATTTCGTTTGGAATTCCAATCCATTATTTTTGTGGAAGAAGACGTGCTATTTTAAAAGTAGTGCAATTATTTCTAAGGCTTTTAAAGAAAAAAAACTATATTGTTCTATCAATAATTTTTTAGCTTATCAATCGAGTTGTGATCTACAATAATTTTAATCAATATAGAGTTATATTTAAACTAAGATAAATTTTAATATTTTTTTAAAGTGATGGGAGTAATCTGTTTCAGAAAAATACTATAATGATCTTGTTACCCCACTATTGAACTTCATATAAATAAATATAAATATTTTTTCAAAGTAAAAAAATTATTATGTTTAGAACTTCATATAAATAAATATAAATATATTTTCAAAGTATAAAAAATATTATATTTAATGTCAAAATTTAAATAAAAAATAATATAAACAGAAAAAAAATTCAAAAGTTATCTCAAACAATCCTTTAACTAGTAATTTTCTTTCGGCTACAATAATCTAATAAACTTGAATATAAAGTCTCCTCATCCAATGAAAAAGTTATAATTAAAGAAAAAAGTGAAAATTCTATGTAAAATAAAACTATGTAAAATGTAACCTGCATTTCAATAAATATAAAGGTCTTCAATATTATGTACATCCCATGTAATTGAGATGAATGCCAGCTTGGCTAATTAGCATAATGCTTTTACAAAGAGGCTTTAATGCAAATTATCCATCAATAGGTCTCCTGATTCTCCTCCTCATGCTTCTATCACAGCACATGACATCAAACACAACAACTATTGCCATTGAACCTCCAAATCCGACACCAAATAGTATTCCCAGTATAATCATATAACTTCTATTCTTTGGATCTCGGTTGCCTAATTCTAGTGATGTTGTAGTATTCTTCAGTCTTGGAACTGATTTGTTGCATGGAAGTAAGCATAATCCGTTATTTCCTTCAAATGAAGTGTTCGTAAAAGTGGAGAATTGACCTCCAACTGGAATGTTTCCTACCAGCTTATTGTAGGAGAGGTTTAAATATTCCAAGAAACATAAAGAAGCCAACTCTTGTGGGATCTTACCAGAAAGGCTATTCATTGAGAGGTCCAATGACTCGAGCTGTTTTAAATTCCCAAGTTGTGGAATAATTGTACCCGTTAAATAGTTATGTGATATGTTGAGCACTTGAAGAGAAGTAAGTTGGCCAATGGTTATAGGAATCTCTCCTTCAAATAAATTGTTGGAAAAATCTATTGAAATAATGATCTTCCATGACTTTGATATCGTCATTTGTTGCCCCTTGTTCATGATGGTGAGAAAACCCAAATAATACTCTTGGTTTAATGTAAAAACTGTAATATCTCGTACTGTGTCAATTTTATCTATCATCATTGACTTAAAGTTATTGAAGCACTCTGCACATAATTTACCACTAAAGTTATTGAATGAGATGTCTAAGACATGTAACATAGGAAAAGTATAATTTCTTTCAAGATTTCCTTCAAAAGGCTGAATTTTCCCATGGAATTTATTAGACCTTAGAACAAGAACCCTTAGAGATGATATATTTCCCAACCAATAAGGAAATGTGTCCTTTAAATTATTATTCCCTAGGTCCAAAATCTCAAGTAATTGACAATTAGATAGAGACCTAGGAATAAGCTCTTGTAATTGGTTGTCTCTGAGATCTATAATTTGCAATTCACATTTTGGACTAATTTCATTCGGGATGGCTCCATCAAGATGATTTCCTCTTATTTTTAGCACTTGTAGATCAACTCCTTTCAATAAACATGATGGAATAGAACCTGTTAACATGTTATTCGATAAATCAAGTACCAATAAGTTGGTCATATTGCAGATGAATTGTGGGATTTCTCCAGTCAGGCTATTATTTGATAGAAGAAGGTACTTTAATGAAATTTGGTGTGAGGTTATGTTGAAAGAGATAAAAGATGTGAAATGATTGTTTGAAAAATCTAATAACTCAATGATAGTTAATTGGAGAGTACAAATCGGAATAGAACCTGTTAACATGTTATTCGATAAATCAAGTGCATGTAAGTTGGTTATATTGCAAATGAATGGTGGGATTTCTCCAGTCAGACTATTATTTGCAAGAAAAAGTTTCATTAGCGAATTTTGGTGCGAAGTGATGTTGAAAGAGATAAAAGATGTGAATTGATTGTTTGAGAAATCTAATATTGTTTGAGTATTTAATGGGAGAGGAGGAATTGCACCTTCAAGCATGTTGGAATGGAGATCAATAATTTTCAAAGCATTATAATCTGTATTAAGATTAAGAGGAGGATCTGCAACATGTGTGAACATATTGAAAGATAAGTTCAGTTCCAAAATACTCCAAAACCAGCTCGGTATTTCCCCGTGAATTCTATTATTTGAGAGGTCCAAGGAATCCATCATATGTGGGTAATTTATAATTGTAGGGATCTTAGTTAGATTGCAACTTGGTACTGCCAAAAATAATATATTAGATAAGAAATATCCATTATATGCATTCCATGAATTTAGAGAAAGTCCACTGTTTGAGAGGTCCAAAATAATTAGATTCTTGAGATCCTTGATAAACTCAAACTCTAAGTCCCCACTAAAATTATTTCCTGATAAATTCAAATAATCTAGTTGTGATAGATCCTTTATTGAAGGTGGTATTCTCCCAGAGAATTGACAACGAGAGAGATCTAAATATTTTAAAAACTTGAGGTTGCCTATTGTATCAGGCAAATCCCCAGAGAAATTAGTATAAAAAAGATATAAAAATATTAAATTATTGTCCTCTGAAAATTTTGGAAGAGAACCAAAAAGCATTGGATTGAGCGAGATATCAAGATGTTGCAAATTTTTTAGTAGAAATATTTGCTTAGGAAAATAAATTTGCTTAGGAAAAACACCTTTGAGTTGGTTTTCTGGAGCGAATAGCGAAGATAGAGAAGTTAAATTGACAAATGAATAAAAAAAGGTTAGAGTCCAAATTATTGCCTGTAATGTCAACACTATATAAATGTGGGAGCATGGAGAGAGAGGAGCAAGTAGCACGTGAGAGAGAACAATAGCTCATTCTCAGCACCTCAAGTGCAGGGGTGAAATTGGATAGAGCACCACACCATTCATTATGGTATGACGAGAGATCTACATGGTCAAGATAAAGGTCCCTCAAGCTGCTCATATTTCGCAAAAATATTGGTTTACTAGTGAGAGAAAGCCCCCCAAATTCATCATCAAAAGAGGAGAGGTCAAGGAAAGTCAACTTCGTCATGCGAAAGATACCAACGGGAATCTTCCCAGCAAATCCAGCATAGGAAAGATCGAGGCTTGAAAGATTTGCAAGACGGTCCCACCCGTAATTCGGAATGGATATTCCATGAAATTGATTGAAGGAAAAATCTAGAGTGCGTAAAGATGTGAGATTGGATCAATCATACCACCAATGGATTGAGCTCTTAGGTTAATGCTTATGACTCGTCCTGATGATTCATCGCATGTCACGCCCTCCCAGATACAACAATTCGTGCTTAGATTCCATGTATCAAGGTCACCAGAAGTAAAGCCTCGCTTCAGCTGGAGAAGCATTGAGCTCTCTGTCTGGAGGCATTGACCAAGAGCATTGCAGTTAATCGAGAAAAACTCAAAAACAAGACAAAATGAGAGAAGTAGTAGGTGCAGAAAGATAAGCGAGTTGATACGAAATGACTCCATTCATAAAATGGTGCAGAGATATGATTTAAGAGACAATGTTTGGCTCCGTTAAATAGAAAAACGAAGCCATAAAAGTTGAACTAAGTCGTCTCTCCGGTCAAGACATGGCTATGGCTCTTTGGAAAAAATTAAACTTTCAGGAAAGAAAATATGTATCTTCTTTGTTTTTTAGTGGTGGGTGGTGGAAGATGCCATAGTGGAAGACTTTTTTTTATTTTTTATTTTTTTTGAAGTGTTGGGTGGTGGAAGACCCCAAAGTGGAAGACTTTTTGATAATTTGTAAGCTATGCTATGAAAATAAAACATACATAAAAATAAATAAAAGCAGACGAAGACTTTACCAACTAATATTATATAAAGTTGGTAAGAAATTATTTGCATATAGAGCCATGGGATTGTAAGAAGAGTATATAGCATTAGCTATTGGAAGCCGTCTGTGACGGCAGAGCCAGAGGTGACTGTAGATGGCCCTGGCAAGGCGAAGATGGAGCTGGCAAGGCGAAGCGCGAATAACATTTCTAGGTTGGTGGGTTATTTCGGGTTGATCAAAATCCGAATCAAGTCGGATTTGGGTTTGGATTCCCGACTTGTTTTCCTAACTGGGTCGGGTTCGGGTTGGGTCAACTGACAACGAGTCAAGTTCAGGTTGGACCCAAATCCGACCTGAAGACATATTTTGACAGCCCTACTCATTGATGTAGCTCATCAAAGGTAAGGCCACTTGAGCTGGGGAAGCACTGAAGTCTCTGCCTAGAGGCGTTGGTCAAGAGCATTGCAATTAATCCAGAAAAACTTATTTAGAACATTTTATGAATCGTTTTTGAACCTGTAAAAAAACAAAAACAGAGAAAATGAGATATGTTGTTGGAGCAAAACGATCAAATTGATATGAAATGGCTCCATGCTCTGATTAAAGATAAAAGGAAGAGAAAGTCATGAGTTAACTCAGATAATTAATCATGTTAATAATTAAGTTCTATCACAATTTTTTTGAGTTTATCAATGGAGTTGTAATCAATAATAATTTTGATCAATATGGGGTAATATTTAAACTAGGATAAATTTTATAGTTTTTTTTTAAATAATGGGAGTATTGTGTTTCATAAATATTATGGTAAATTGTTGCTAGAGTTTTACAAACATCTTAAACATATAATTAAAAATACTTTTTAATGAGAAAATCCATTAAGGTGAATTATATGGCGTACAAGAGATACAAATTTCACATAGATGTGAAAGTAATATGGAGATTGTTTCGGACTGAAACAATTGCAGTGTTAGAGAGATAAATAGTTTAGCGTCTAAGTTTTATACGAAGATTCAACACACAGACAGATAAGAGAGAGGGGAGTAAGATCAATCATAAGAGACATCAATATTTTTACATGCAAAATTCTAAAAAGGGGAAAAACCACGGGGCCTGACCTGATTAAAATGATTACTCTGGTGTTTATTATTGATTACAAACGAGGCCCTTCCTTGGGGGGAAGGCCTTGGCTCGATATAGCAAATATACATCATTTAAAGCGATAGTGGTCGGAGGGACAATAGTCAGCGAGCGACGAACGTCAGAGGGATCATAGTAGGCAGGGAATGGAGATCAGAGGTTTCATATTTGGGTGACAAAGGTCCGATAAACTGTAGGTTGCGAGTGATGGAGGTTACATAGACCAAAGTCAGCGAGCGACGGAGGTCCACTGACTATGGTCTGAGGGACCATAGTCGGCGGGTGACAGAGGGTGACAGAGGCCGGAGGGATCGTACTAGACGGGTGATGGTGGTAGAAGGGATCGTAATCAGCATGCGACGGAGGTAAAAGAAATCATAGTTAGCAGGCGACGATGGTGGGAGGGATCGCAGTTGGTACGAGATAGAGGTCAGAAGGACCATAGTCGGCAGACAATGGTGGTCGAAGGAACCATAGTGGGCTGGCATCGGTGGTCCAAGCGATCGTAGTCAACGTGCTGATGGTAGTCTGAGGGGTCATAGTCGGCGAGCGTCGGTGGTCGGTTGGATCATAATCAATGAGCGACGATGGTGGAGGGTATGGAGTCATCAAGTGATGGTGATCAGAGTGGTGTATCGATGGTATGCAGGGTGTGGTCCGGCACCGGTCAGCAACTGGTGGCCTGGAGGTCTAGTGGGATTGGCAGATAGGTGGTGGTCCGGTGACGTCGGCGGCCAGGCATAGGTCCTTAAAGGAAAGCGGTCGGGCAAATGTTCGGTGGCTGTTGGAGGGGGCGGTGGTCCGACAATGGTTAGCAGTCTGACGGTTGTTCACAGAAGTTCACCGGTCGTGGTGATTGGGTAGAACTTTAGGATTCTTGAAGCCTCGGACCTCCCTCCAATCTCCCGCGAAAGGTCAAGCTTGCAAAGGTCAAAGTTCTCTCTCATATGTGAAAGTGGGGGTCTATTTATAAATTTGTTAAAGTGGCATGACCCATAAATATGAAGATCTTGAGCAAATTCGGAGTACTAATCGGACGGTCCATATTTTTCCCCTTGATCAGAGCGTTTGTCAAATATTTATATATTCAGATGATGTCAGAATTAAGCGATCTTGAGCTCATTGGATTCGTCTCATCAAGTTGTTCGATTCGACTATAAGTATGATATATTTAGACGTCGAATCTTAATGTATATAGCATACTTATAGTCGAATCGAGTATGAAACATCGAAACTGGTCATAGAGGCTCTTTTGAGCTTCAAAAATGTTAAAATAGAGTATGAAACATCAAAAAAATAGTTCCCGAGACTCTAAATTCAGCCAAATTGAACTTTCCAGGCAAAAAATCATTTCACTTATTTTTTATTTTGGGTGGCCTCAGCCTCGCAATGAGAGGAACAATTATTACGTCCTCCGACCGGATGCAAAGGAATATTCGGTTGTAGGCAAATTTCCGCCTATACTGAGGTGTACCGAGTTTTTTGAAAAAACTCGGTACACCTCGGTAGAGGCGGGATTTTGCCTAATACCGGATGTTCCTCTGCATCCTTGCACCGGACTAAATAAAAGTTCCAATGAGAGGCGGCTACAGTGTCGCTTCAATTGAGGCGGCTGGTTTTTTTTTAATGACGATATTTTTTTTTTTCTTTTAAAATTTCTCTAAAAATAAAAAAATCAGGAAAATTTTCGATTTATTTTTAGAAAAGAAAAAATATATATTCTATCTATATATTTAATTGTAATATTTTTTTTCTTTTTTAATTTATTTTAGAAAGAAAAAAATGGTTTTTAAAAAAAATTTAAAAAATTTCTGAAAAGATCCAAAAATATCAGAAAAAATTTCCAAGCTTGCCCCAATTAGATCTATAAATAACCTCCTTGGGGATGGAGGAAAAAGCATACAAGTTTGGAGGCTTGTGGTGGCGATCAAGATTGGTGGCAGTGATCGAGACTCAATACTCTTACGAGGACTTCAGTTCTCCCCCTATGGGAGAAAAACTATCCTGCAAGAGTTAAATTATCGATGGTGGTGGTGATCAAGACCTAATAATCTTATGAAGGTTCCAGTTCTCTCTCAACAAGGGAAAAACTGTCCGACAAATGTTTAAATATCGGTAGTAGTGGTGATCAAGACCTAGTATTCTTATACAGGCACCAATTCTCCCATAATGGAAAAAAATTATCTGACAATAATATAAATATCGGTAGTACTGACGGTCAATACCCGGTACTCTTACGTAGGCTCCATTTCTCCCCCGATGGGGGGAAAATTGTCCGGCAAGAGTTTAAATACCGATGGCGGCGGCAGCGATCAAGACTCGACCTTCTTATGCAGGTCCTTATAGGGGTGTGTTGGTGGTGGCGATTGGAGGATGTGCTGCTGATGGAAGTCGAGCGAAGAGTCGTATTATTAAAGACGCACACTACCGTTGTCAATTGGGTGAAGGCATGATGGCGCCGTATGCTTTGGAGATGCTTTACGACAAAACCATTGGATCATATGCCCCAATTACAACCCTTTGGTATCATTTGACAGTTAAATCTTCTAAAAATAAAAAAAAAATCAGAAAAATTTCCGATTTATTTTTAGAAAAATTCAAAATATTTTTCAGAAAAGAAAATATAATAGTCTATCTATATATTTAATTGCAGTATTTTTTTCTTTTTTAATTTATTTTAGAAAAAAAATGGTTTTTAAAAAAAATTAAAAAATTCCTGAAAAAATCCAAAAAATATCAGAAAAAATTTACTAGCTTGCCCCTATTAGATCTATAAATAACCTCCTTGGGGATGGGGGAAAAGGCACACAAGTTTGGCGGCTTCTCGTGGCGATCAAGATTGGTGGCAGTGATCGAGACCCCTATGGGGGAAAAACTATCCTGCAAGAGTTAAATTATCGATGGTGGTGGTGATCAAGACCTAATACTCTTATGAAGGTTCCAGTTCTCTCTCAACAAGGGAAAAACTGTCCGACAAATGTTTAAATATCGGTAGTAGTGGTGATCAAGACCTAGTATTCTTATACAGGCACCAATTCTCCCATAATGGAAAAAAATTATCTGACAATAATATAAATATCGGTAGTACTGACGGTCAATACCCGGTACTCTTACGTAGGCTCCATTTCTCCCCCGATGGGGGGAAAATTGTCCGGCAAGAGTTTAAATACCGATGGCGGCGGCAGCGATCAAGACTCGACCTTCTTATGCAGGTCCTTATAGGGGTGTGTTGGTGGTGGCGATTGGAGGATGTGCTGCTGATGGAAGTCGAGCGAAGAGTCGTATTATTAAAGACGCACACTACCGTTGTCAATTGGGTGAAGGCATGATGGCGCCGTATGCTTTGGAGATGCTTTACGACAAAACCATTGGATCATATGCCCCAATTACAACCCTTTGGTATCATTTGACAGTTAAATCATCTATTAAAGTACATATTTATATTTTACATCCTCATTGATGTAAGATTATTTAAGAATAAATCATAACATGTTTATTATGAGTTGAAAGTATTGTCAAATTTATCACTCTTAACAAATTATTACTGATGGACTAATGAAATTTTCTACTTGAGTAATTTTAAATTTTGATAAAATTAAAATTTTTTATTTCATTGAAATTTAAGCGTCAAGTGATAAATTTTGAAATTTAGAAGCTTTTTAAAAATCATATAATCCCTTATGGTTCATATTTTCAGCCAACATAATCCTCATCGATTATTAAGATATATTATTTGATCACTTAAACCTTATCAACTCTACCTATTTACTGACATTATAAGTCCAAAATATTAGATTTTTGTATTTTTTTTTTATTTTTTTGCAAAAGAATATTAAAGACCTAATACAACTGCAAAATAAAATATCTGCATGGATTATATGATCATATGTTAACTTTAAAAAAAATAATTTTTTTATGATAAATTATTTGAATATTGTTAGGTTATCCTTACAAAGAGAATGATCAAATTTAAAATTAAGAATTATTAACCTTGCCCTATAGGCAAGACAAGTCACTCACGAAGTATACAGTAAAAAAAAATAAACTTTTACATTTGCAAATGCAGGAGATCTGTGAAGTTACAAAATAATTACTCTATTTCGAAGCCATCATACATTTCTTCCATAGAGAGAAAGAAATTTGAGTTTATCACCTTAACCTAATCAACATTCTTAAAGCTCAAATTTAGGAGTTTTGGGCATTAGTTGGAGCTCAACTGAGCATTAATAGAGAGAAGAAACGAGGGAGAAAGAGAGGAAAAAAGAGGGAAAATATAGATGAAGGCAGTGATGGGCAACAATTTGGGTGAGTGGCGGTGGTGAGGGTGTCGTGGCCGCACAATAAGCAGATGCAACAATTATGGGGCTAAGCACAAAGGTCACACAAGAGAGAGCATGAAAGGTCCAAGGGAGACGGTGGTCGACAGAGTCGAGCTAGGGCTCGCTCAACAATAAAGTTTGCGGTGCCTGCGGCTGCAGCTTTATGGTGGCTATGTTGGAGGATTCAACGAGGGGTGATGGAGACGAGAGATCTGGTGAGGCTGGTGATTCACTCGTAGCAAAGGAAGAGGACATGAGAGAGAGGGAGAGAGAGAGAGAGAGAGAGAGAGAGAGGATATCTGTTAAATGAAATTGTTCTATACCCAATCAACCTCAAGAATCACTTGTAAAAATATGCCACGGCAACTAAACAGAAGATGCACCAGATTATAATGAAAACAAGACTATATATGCTTAATTAGAAAAAGAAGAAGAAGATACTTTTTACACAAGGAGTTGTCACAAAATACTAGTGTTAACAAATGACACGAGTAAGGAAAATGAAGAAGATTGTGAAATAAGTGCAACCTAACATGAACATTTACACACAAACAGAAAAGGCAATAACAGATTTCTTGATCTGTTATGTATATATCCTAAGCAAAACTCAATCCATAAGCTTGTATCGTTTCTCTTGGACACCAGTCACTCCCATCTGGATCTCTATTATGGTATGAAGTGGGACCTAAAGAAACATTGGCAAGCAACATCTCAATCTCCAGAACATTCTAGAATATCAAGTAGTATTTTCATGGCTTACCTCAATTTGGGGGATTTCCTTTAAAGGCCTGTCTGCAAAGTAGGCATATAAGGCTCTCAACACAGCCTGTGCATAGAGAATTAAAAAAAATATTCAATAAAATAAATAAATAAATAAATAGAAGTCAGGATACACACCTGGTGAGAGATAACCACTACAGGTGCCCGCTGTCTCTCAAGCTCAATAATTACAGGTTCGAGCCTAAAAATAGGAATGAAATAGCAAGAACCAGACAAATTATCAATAAGTTGAAAAGGAAATGAAAAATAAGCTCTTATAACCATTACCTTTGTATGACATCAAGATATGATTCACCACGAGGATAACGATAACGCAGCTTATCTTTCTGACGAGATCTACATTCAATAGGAAAAAAATAAATTTCTCATGAACGGTGCACAACCAAAGAGAGGTAACTGCATAAACAAAGATGTTGGCACTCGCAGTCAATTGACTGATTTGGCTTCACTGAAAGAAACTGAAAACAAACACTAAAGACAAGATATAGGCTTCGTTTTGGTACTAGAAAGCTGTTTTAAGAAGCAGAAAGAAAGCCGTCCCAAACGAAGCTATAGTTTCATCTATAAGAGAGTTATAGAATGTTTTTTATCTTGAAAGCAAGATAAGGAACAAGAAACAAAGTAGGCTTTAGATGAGACTAATAAGCAATGTAGTTAAGTTTATGTTCATACTCATATTCATCAGGCATGTTCCTTTTTATCTCTTCATAAGTCATTCCATCACATGCCCCAGCATTTATCTCTTCAAGAGCACGCCATTGTATCTACAAGCATGGGCAACCAGATTACAACATTATACATTTAAACAAGCAAAATAGAAATTCAAAAGAATGACAGATCTCTTAGAGAATTGGATACTGTTTGATATAAATGATTTGACCTTGGGAAATCCAACAATTGGAGTGGCTGTTAATATTGTTCGCTGAAGTGTGCTTGTCCATATCTACGCCACAACACAATAGAAGTACAAGATTTTACATTTAGGTAGCATTATCTTCAAAGATCAGTGAAACTAAGTTGTATCATTGCAAAAATTAAAACAAAAATTTCAATGATAATAACAACCAGCATCAATGCTGTTATCCGCTTAAATTTATCTAAAGTATATGGACAATAATATTACTAAATATAACAGAAGGTAAATCAACCACATGTAATGAGGTACTTCAAACTTACTGATACACTTCTAACTCAATTGCCAACACCTTTAGGCATTCTCAGTGATAAATTTTGTTGGGCATTTGTTCCACATGAATGGATAAGAGCATAGAGAATAAAAACCTGTTCTGGTTGTGAAAGGTGGCATAATCATGCAGAAAGGAGAGAACAAAGAAGCACCAATTTGGCTCAAGTGCCAAACTAATGTGAAAGCAGGAGTCAAAGAAAAAATTAACATTATTAGACAGAATTATAGAACATTTGGGAGAATTTCAAGTGAAACTAAAGGCAGGTGTAATAATTATTGTATAGCAAGTAGTTAATAAAAGCAATTGAAATTGGGATGTTGTTGCTGTGGGCATTTTTTTCTAGTTATGGCTAGTTTGATAAGAAAATAAACTCTATTGAAGATAAGATAGTACAAGGTTTACAAGTGGCTTGGATAGTAGAAGACATCTTAAGCAGATGAAATTTATGTCGAAAGATTGGCAAAAAAAGGAAATAAAAGTAATATGGATAGAAATTGTGCAAATAAATAAATAAATAGGTTTAATATCTTAAGCAATACTTAGTTGGAATGAATTAAGAATAAGAATTAATACAGCTAATCTCAAATAATTGGGACAGCATTAATGGTAGTGATTATGATGATGGAAGAAGAATTCAAACGGCAATTGATAAAAACGGAGCCAAAGCAAATTATGGATATAAAGATGGATTGCGAGTGAGGATTAAATTTCCCACAAACAGTTAGGAGAAGAACCATAATTTTGTCAAAGTATCATGATCTTATCAAAAGTACTAACAATCTGGACAAATAAGATGAACCCACAAATTTCTTTCAAGCGTTGCGGAAGAGCTAATAAACCAAGTAGGCATAAATCATACCTAAAGACAAAAGCCAAAAATAATCAAGCAAATACCTTTAATTATATAAGATTCCACCAACATTGCATTCCTGAGAAACTCAACTATCATGCTACAATAAAATGAACCATACCAGGCAACGAGCTACACGAAGATGGGATTGAAGCAAGCATGAGAAAAAGTAAACCAAAAAATAAGTGATTTTCATTACAGCACAAATGTTACCATGAAAAAATGGGTTCACTTTCCAAAACCAAATGTTAGTCTATTTAATAGTAATTATCATAAGGACTTCTAATACTGGATGGAGAATGTTTTAATATCCTCATAATTGATGGCATTATTCTCACTAATTTATTTTTCTTATCATTATCTCATTTGTGCCTATTTATAAACCCAACATACTCAAGTAATGATATAAAATAATTTGATTCCTCCCAACAAGATAACAATATTAAAGCACTGACCACCTGTAATATCCAATTTTTCCTAAGGTAATGTGCAAATTTGGCTCAATTCAATTATATCCCGAAATACGAACTTCCACGAAAATCATCAAAGAGCATATCATTGTGTACTACTCATCAAATTGAGCCAATTCATATATTAAAGTATATGTCAATTTGCAAGGAAATAGAAATTATGGAATGAGTTTCGATTTGAATTATTTTCATAAAGTTTTATTTACTTTTAATTTACAGTAGCAGGGTATCACATAATGTCGACAAAGAACTCATGTCATGCACCAGTGGATTAGAAGGACAATTAAGGGAAATTGGAAATTTATACCATTTAATTCCTATTTCTTTCCTTATTAGCTCTCGGTTTAGAGTGTTTTTGGCATACTAGTAGCCTGTTGGGCATTGTGGGTGTTGATCGCAGGTGTTGGCGGACCAGTGCAAGAAGAGGAATCGACTAGGAGAAAAATTAAGAAGGGAAGAAGAGAGGAAAGAAAGGGAAGGAAGAATAAGAAGAAGAAGCAAAAGAAGAGAGAGGAATGAGGGAAAAAAATAAGGGAATTTTGTATTTTGTTAATATATTTGTTGATGTAAAATTTTTCATTTAGATATATTCAATTGTTATTTAGGAATCCTGTAGTATATAAGGAAAGTAAAATTTGAGGTTTCAAAATATGTAAAAGAGAGTAAATTACGAGGTATATTATTTTGGGAATAACTTAATGTCTTTATTTGTGCGGGTAGAAATTTGTACAAAATTTTAAATTAAAGAATTTGGGTTGGTGTAGGTGATATATACACATTAGAGATTAGGAGGCGTCTAAATTGTGAGGCAACTCATTAAAGAGGTCAAATGTGTAGTTGTTCTAATTTAGAAAGCAAGTACTTTAGTCTCTTGCAAATACAATTACACTTGAACCAATTGGATGTGTTATTCAGTAGTAATTCTATATATTGTTAAATGAAGTCTTGCATTGATATGTAGATTTTGAAAAAAAACAAGCTTTGGTAAATGTTACGCTTATAAATAAAAAGCATCTGATTTGTAAAGTCTTCCTTGCATACATATATAATATTACTTGTTTAGTGTAAATATATATATAGTAGATGTAATGATAAAATAAATGTAGTTATCAAAATCTGCAAGCTTAAGAATATATCATGTTAGGTGATAGGTAGAGGATTTTAGGTTTCACCTAGGCCCTCTATTAAACAAGTAGGATGAAGGCACCTAAAGGTTATGTTTACGTTATGATGATGGTCTGGACCTAGACATCTACTTGAATTGTGAACAAGAGGATGAGTAAGAGAATAAAACATCTATGTGATTAAATACAAGATTAAATGTTTAAATCATCTGGCATAATATTGAGTTACTTGTATCATCGAGATAAACAGTCTATTATTTTGATTCAAATGAGCATATTAATGTTACATTTTTTTAAACAGCGTATAAATATTACTATTTGTAATACAAAACAACATGGTTTATGCTTACGCACAATCATCACACATACATATTGGCCACTATTTTTGTACACCTGAATTATGTATTAGATCTGCATACCTTTCGGAGCCTCATAGCTCACTAAAATTTTATTTTGGTTGTTTTTACTAAAAAATGCAAAGATAAAGTTAAAGAACCGATTCACTTTATGTTTTATGTTTTATTATGTACAATATAAGAGAAGGGTTGATTTGAGGTTAGTAGGGCATTTATGATATGCATGTTTTTGTGGTTTGTTAGATGAACTATAAATGTAAACTATAAATAAAATTTTTATGTGTTATCTTACATGAATATTATTGAAATATTTATGAATTATGAATGTAAGATGAATTGTACAATTTTCTATGTAGTGTCCCACATTACCTTGTAGAGGGGATTAGAGTGGGGTGTGACACCACCCTCTCGATCTAATATAACCCTACGCAATTTCATTATTTCTTGTTGGTATCAGATGGGGGATCTTCTGTCATCCAACTTTATTTGGTTTCGTATACGCCAATGTTTCATCAGATACCATCTCCCCCCTACCTTATTGACTGCTCTCAAGGTTTTGGTTGACTCCCCAATGAGGTCGTCACCTTCTATCCATGTGTTTTCAACTTTCCTAAGGCTCCTCCCCATGCATCCTCCCCTGTGGTTTATAAGCCTCCTACTTTACAGCCTACATGCTCATTTACAAATATCGGTTTGAATGTTGTCATCTTTCACTCCTCTCCATTAAACTTTTCGCTAAATTTGACCAATATTCAACAACATTGTAATAAAAACAACCTTACTCTTATCAAGGAAAACAGACTTTCTTCTTCATTGATGATGAGACCCCTTTACTTGCTAAACCATTCCCCCTCTCACATTGGCAAATTTTCAATGGGTCGTCTCAACTCGAAGATAATTTGCAAATTCATGTTTGATTTTTCTATATGATGGGTGGCTACTCCATTGAACTCATCAACCATCATCAAATTATCATGAAACTTCCTCTAGAAACAAACTGCATCCAAATTTTCCATAACCCTCATACTATATCAGTGGCTTACAATGCGTGGCTCAGTCAATCCCATTTATTTGATTTTGTTGCTCATTAATGTTGCACACTACAATCTCACGTGCTACCAAGAGCACGCACTCACAATTGCAGTGCCAAATGGCCTCTCTAAGATTTGTGTTATTTCTAACTCACCAAAAATTTCTCACATTTTCAGGTGTCTTACTTCCCCCATTTTATAGGTCCATCCATGTCGCTCTCTCGCATCATTCCCTATTCATTTGCAGTCACATTCATCTTCAATTGATCATGTGAGAATGGAGATTCCTATATGTCAGCCTCCACCACCTGTGTTAATGGTTCTACTAGTTCAAAAGCTCATCTTACAATCATTTCTTTATATATTTTGCACCTGTTATTTACAATCATCATAAGTTTGCTAAAGTGGTAGGCAGATCTTTGAGTTTAGGATTGGACCCCTCTTTTTCCGCCTATTTTCCTATATACTTTAATAAAGATTTCATTCCATCGCAACACAAGCAACCATTTTCCTTTTAAGAAAAACCTATGCACATCTTCTATGAGGATGAATCTCAAAGTTTGTTATATCGCTCTTATTGTTTATTATAAAAAAATTCTTATTTGGTTGACCCAATGTGGATGTCATTCATAAATTATTATCAAAACTTTACTTGATGGGTATGTAAACTACATAAAGCTCTTCCATGATATCTTTATTTCTGTACTCCATAATATCTTTATTATGTATTTTGTATTTTTTCTCTAACAATCCTTATTAATTGCCCTTATTATACTCCTACAATTTTCTTTTTTATAAAATTCTATTTTAAGAAAAAAATAATAACAAAAAACTTTAATTTACTAAAGCGTGAAGACAAGCAATTTCTAAGAAAAACAACAATAGGGTCAAAAAACTATCAAGCTAAAGATAATAATAATGCAAAAACAAAAAATTTGATTGAATCCTGATTAGAACTAATTTTAAGAGTACTGCCGAGGCAAACTTTTCTTTCAATAAAAAAAATTTGACGTAAGAAGCATCATAATTATGCATTAACATGAAAGCCCCAAAAAAAAATACAGAGGGAATAAGTTTTTCAAGATTCTTACAGAAACCGTCTTTTCCGATTGCAGTCGTTTATTTATAAAGTTGGCAAGTTTTCCTGAGTAAACCTCCCCTGCTTCACTGCGCAGAAAAATGTTCATAGCATTACTTCAAAATAATGTTACCAGAGCAAGATCAAAATTTATCAACATTGGAATCACATATTTACCAACAAATGAAACTTAGCATGTAAGACAGTCTTTTATCCATGCCAACAAAACTAGTTTCATTATTACTTTTAAATGTCAAAATGTGTGAAGGAATGCAAAATATACTCACCTTCTCAAGAAAAGATATGAATCATGTTCATATTAATTCATATCCTACAGTTACACTGTAGGTAATAATCTGATTCCTAACAACATCGAAGTGGTGCAGATCAGACAATTAACCCATTAAAAAACGTTTAACTGTTTAGCTTTTACTAACACAACACAACTTATGTGAATAAAAAATTTAACCAAAGCGCTTTCAATAAGACATCTGCTCTATAACATCTTAGAAAGGAAAGCAAAACATTTTAATTTAAAGTATTATTATTATTATTATTATTATTGGGTTCAGCATTATCATCTTAAGATTCTCTAGACCTCAACTAACACAGAAGAAAAAGAAAGTTCAAAAAGGTGTAATTCTACTTATAATTTGTAGGGATAATTGAATGTTATTCAAATTTTAAATACTCTATGGCATAAGCCTCCAATACAAAGTGTAATTAATTTAAAAATAATAATAATAATAAAAGCAACAATATCAAATGTCATAACTCCATGGAAATATGAAAGAATTTAAATGTATGGATTGTCCTAGTACAAATGAAGGCTTAAACCAAGAAAACCCAAATAAAATCCAAAGTAAAATCAACAACGCTAATATCAACCAGTCAAAAAATAAAATAAAATAAAATAAAAATACAAGACAAACAAATAGAAATTGCTTGGATAGTATGAGCCCTGTGCTTCAAAAGGAAGGCCACGAGTTAAAATTGTGCATAGGCAATCCCATTCAAGAAAAAAAAATGGGGAGGAAAATATAAAACAAACTCATGTCAGGAGTCCATTGCCAACCTCAAAATTGCATCACCGCCAATTCTTCCTCTAACATTATCTTGGCTTTCACCATGTCGAGTTAGCAGAATAGGGCGGGGTGTAAGATGAGTATTCACCTGAAACAAAATAATAATAACAATTATGGACGTCAACAAAAAGGAAAATGCTCGACAAAGTTTAGTAAATCAGATCTTGACCAGTCATTTGTTATAATTATATAAATAAAATTTAGTAAATCGCCAAAATAATCAATAGACTGTTAGGCACTTCCATTTTGCTCTCAATTTTTTCTCAATAGTTCAATCTAATCTCTCAAATCATTATATCTGAAACAATTTGATCCTACCATCAACTTTGTTGTTTCTTTAGATTTTTTAGATAAAAATTTCCATGTGAGCATTTTGAGCTTTTTATGGTCAGTCTCACTACTTAATATCAGCTTAAATTAATGGGATTGACTTCTAAAAAGTGTAAAATGCCCTTATAGTGTTTCCATCAACCAATTTCCATCCAAAGAAATAATAAGGTTCATGGGAGGGCCAAATTAGTTGAGATTTTGTTAGTTAAGTGACTAAATTGAACAACTAAAAAAAAACTCAAGACTAAAATGGGTACACCTAAAAAAGTGGAAACCATTCTAGTTATTTACTCAAATAAAATTTCATGTTAGATTTGGAATTTTGTTAATTGTATTCTATTATTTCATATTTTTGTTTTAAATATTTTGTGAAATATGAAATATAACCATATTTTTTAAGTGTTCGAATTCAAATCCTGCAAGAATTTGAGCCATTAAATTGGCTCAAAATCTATACATTTCGAGTCAAGCCGGTTTAACTCAAATGGTTATTCAATTTCAAGTTGATTTGAGTCAATAAGAATTCAATCTTTTCAAGTTTAAGTCAAGCTTAGCTTGCTCAAATTTGACTAGATAACACCCTTAACAGCTCAATAAAAGTTTAAAATAAGTTTAAAATAAAATCATGTAACATCATTATAGAAGATTCTTATTTATGCATCAAACTTTCACTTATCACACTTCTGATTAAGGTAGAATTCAAGCATGAAACAGGAAACTATTTAGAAAATGATTCTCTTTAATAATGGTAACTATTTTTTTCCTCTTCTCATGGATAGATTGATACAGTATACTTTAAAAAAAAAAATAAATAAAAGAAATATTTTCAAATCCCTACCAAGAAGAAGACAATCCGACCAGGAAGATATCCACTGATATTGTTCACCTACATGCCAAAAGAAAAAAAAAATTAAGAAAGAGGATTACACATATATACCACAGGATCTTGGAAAGCATGATAACCTGACAAGGTATTCAAGGAATAAGGGTTCTTAAAGCAGATATATACAAATTTATCATCGCAAGATGACATCAATAATTGTCCTTATCATTGTCACAAAAATGAAAGGAAAAATCCATGTTTAAGTTCAAAAACAAGTTGCTAAAATGGTTATCCGACACACTTTTTTTTTTAAGAGCAGTGATTAGATTGCCTCAGTTGTGATATGGAGTTCACTGGCTCAAAAAGGGGAAATCCTGAAATCAGTTCTTTAGTTGCCACTCCTGCCGTCAATCCAACAACCCACCTGCTTCAGCCTGCAGCCGGGTTACAGCACTCCCAACACTTAATTCCTCTAAATTTTTTCTTCATATTATGATGATGGTTGATAAAAATTGCTTAAGAAAAAGATCCTTTTCTAGTGTCACCTCTTGTTATGCATTAAGATCCTATGCTGAGTCTAGCATCTAAGAAACCTTCACCAAATCATTGATTATGCATCTTAAGCCAAACCCCTTAGCACTAGAGATCAACATCAATATGGTTGCTCAAAAAGATACGGAATTGATTAAGCAAAAGAAATAAGCTCAGCATGTACCTTCCACTTATGATAGCAAAATAATGTTGGGGCACTTTCACATTGTTCATTCAAATTTCATGTATCTCAAAAAATTGTTTTGGCCCTTCTTGTCAACAAAATCTTGAAGCATTTCAATATGAAACTTCTCGATTATCCAAACACACTTGAGCTACCTAACCTAATCATCTTTATAAAATGCCCCAACCATGTGCAATCATCCATGATAGCATTTGAGTGCCATCCCATGTGAACAATATCTTAGGTGCTACATGATTTATATCCCTTCACTGATGATCCACATTAGAACCACTTCAGTCTTTGCACTAAAAGATAAATCTTAAACAAATGCCATTTTTAAAAAAAAATCATTCTTTTATAGAAACTAATTTCAAAAATCAAATTCAAGTCTATAAGACTAATAACAGGAAAGAATATTTTTATTTCATTCATGGAGAATATCTCCTTCAACAAGAAATCATTTACAAAAGTTCTTATATCCATATTTTTCAACAAAATGAAATTGCATAAAAGAAAAACTGACACTTTCTTGAGGTTGCTTGATCAATTCTAAACAATAGTAATCTCTCAAAACATTATTCGGGGGAGATTATGCATATTATTACATACCTCAAAAATCATATCTCATCAAGAATTCTAAATTAAAACTCCTTATTATACTCTCACCCAAGCATATCCCAAAAGTAGATTTATCTATAGCATTCCTCTCAAAAGTGTTTGGTCACTCTATATTTGTATTGGATACACACTAGAACCACTTAGATCATCATTATCAAAAAAGTAAACTCAATTAAAAGCAAAAGTATGAAGGTTGATCCCAAATATCGTACGTGATAGTAAAAAATTACTGTGCTAGGTTGGTGTTATGCAAGATAAGGTAGAATTTAAAGATTTGGATGCAGAATCAGTAAATCCAAAGCTATTATCCAATCTTAATTTGACTATTGCAACAATAAAAAAAGATACTGAGCCACTATAATCTAACTTAAAAGAAGCAAAAAAATAAGTGGACACCAATATGATTCACTGTTATCACTCCAGCGGACTGAAACTGATCAACCGAAGTTATATTATAAGCAAAGAAGGCAGTGTTCACTTATTAAAATACTAAAAAAAAATAAGATAGATTAAAAAAATGAACTAGTCACACCACAATTCTGAACATGCTTAAATCGTACTTAGAATGTGATTTACTAGGGCTTTGCTAGAGGTAATGGTTGTTGTTTTAAAGAAAATCATTTTCAGTAAATAAAGTAGAATACAATCAGAATTTAAGTTACATTTCTATAATTCCCAATAAAACGCCCAAAAGCACTCATTCACAAGATAGCATTGGCTATTGTTCTCTAAAATGTTAGACAAGTGTAACTTTATAGATGTTTCAACCTCCCTGCCTCTCTGACAGCCAACATATACCCAAACAATGACAGAAGAATGTATCCCTACTATGTGTGAGACACGTCCAAGAAGAAGGGATAATTCACAAAAACCTAAATGTCAAGATGAAGAACTTTGAAGGGTGAGCAAGATGAAAGGTAACCTTGGGTGAGATTTCAGTGTTTAGCAAATAAAATTTAAAAAAAAAATTAAAAAATATAGAAAAACGTAGATCTTTGCTTTGACAGATGCTACACAAAAGATTTTACCAGTCTATAAACAAATAAAATACTAGCACATTTGCAATAGTAACTCATCTTACTCATAGAGGGTGCATTACAAACTAACACTCTTAATTTTAAGAGATCATGTCTTTCACAAATATGAAGGATAAAACTTGAATTGTATTAATGAAGTTCAAAAAAAAAAACGAGGGAAGATGAAGGAAATAATATTTCAATTAAGGGATGACCAAAAATGTGCAATTACTTGTATCTGCCCACCATTTCCGCTGACTTTGTCTATCATCTTTACATAGCAACCTTCTTCTACAGGTTCATAGACCTGCTTGACAATATTAAAAACATGTTGCAAAACAAAAGAGCATGGAGAGCTAAAGTATGCCAAGAGAGCAAGCAGCTCATGATGCTTAGGACCTTTTCATAATTGGCTAGTCGTTCCTTGAAGTCCCGTATTCCAGCTTCAAAATCAGTCCTGAAGCAAAACGAAAGCTACTGCATTTCTTATATTTTCATAGTAGTCATACCTAGAAAAGTGGAAAACGTTAACAGAGCAGCTTACTCTTCTTCATAATCAGGGCTTTGTTGGATTTTTAGACGAATATTTCTTTCAATTATGCGTTCATCATTACAAATTGTCTCCAAAAATATAATCTGGAAATTGACAAAGACAAAACTCACCCAGAAACTGCTCAATAAAAGAACTAAGAAACAAATTATGTAGTAGAGGCGCAAATGGGAATGAAAATTGTTTCTGAAAAAAAAAATATTCTTTTATCGAGGAAGAAAATCATGGAAACGAACCTAAAAGCACATTAAAAATGATCGGGAAAGTTCCATACATAAGCCGTTAAACGTTATCTCAAAAGATCTTAAGGTTCAGCCAAAAAAATAAGTTAATACTGACAAGGGAAATAGATATATTCTTGCATACATTCATTTTCTCCGCCCAGCTTTACAATAGCAGTACCTATAAGGATTTTGATTTTCTTGTTATAAGAATCAACCATTTCTCAGTTTCCATTGAGGAAGTATTAGCGAACATCATCGAACAAAATAAGCTATTATCACCATTAGGAGCAGCCTTTCTAAAATTATTTGGGTTAGCCTTGTGACAACATATTTTTCAATCATTCCTACTAGGGAACAGGGGTTAAAGTTAGCATAGAAAAATGCCTATGAAATAAAAACCAATAACAATCTTAACCATTACACCACTTCAACTAAGGCTAAAAAAAAACTTCTAAACTAAGGTTAAAAAAAAAAACTTCTAAACTAAGTTTGTGTCATTGGAGGCAAATAGGTTAAAGTCAAAACAATTGCAGCTAAAGCCACTCCCACTACATGAAAATCTGTGATTTGCGGCGAACTTTGTGACGAAAAATTTTTTTTGACAAATTGCGGAGGATTTGTGATGGAAATTTCCATTACAAATACGCCGCAAATCCCTCACAAATAGGTTCATCTAAACTGATATCCATCTAATTTCTTTCATACGCTCTCGACCTTGTTTGTTCCTCCGCACCCGCAGCGACTAGCCCCCTCGTGACGTTCCTTGCTCGTGAGTCCTCACCAACGTTCGTTCTTCATCTCCTTTGCCGTTTTTCGACTTCGCTTCTTCGACGACGTCCTTCCTATTGGATCAAGATCGGAAGCAACAACGGGAACTCGGCCACTGTGAAGGTAACTTTCTCCCTTTCGCACACTTCTTCTGCCAAATCCCTTAAATCCGCAGAACTAAAGGGTTTACTAAATATGTGACTTAGGATAAGGGAAAAAAAGAGGGAAACAGAGGTTTTATCGTTGGATCGGAAGCAATAACGAGAGCTCGCTCGTTGTGAAGGTAACTTGACCTATGTATTTTCCAATTTATGTTGGATTACATCAAGGATAAGCATTAAGCTCATATCTTTTTACTTAGTCAGGGATGTTCTCACTAGACATTTGCAAGAGGTTGTACCCGGGTGTATGCTTTTTGTTGATATTATTCTTCTTGTTGATAAGACTAAAGAGGGAGTTGAAAGTAAATTTGAATTATGGAGGTCAACCTTAGAGTCTAAAGGCTTTCGTTTGAGTAGATCTAAAACTAAATATATGGAGTGTAATTTTAGAAATAATAGATCTAGTGGGGGGATTGTGACTATAGGCGATCAAGTCATTAATAAGAGCACACATTTTAGATATCTTGGGTCTATTGTTCATACTGATGATAAAATAGATGGGGATGTTATTAGTAGAATTTAAATTTGATGTAGACAAAGGGGGGGTCAACCCATGTCCAAAATAATATAAATTTTGGCTTCCCTTGAGTCTACTATCTCAATCAAATTTGAACTAAAATTTTAGCTCATTTATGAGCTGGTCTTTTGTTCACTTATTGAACTAAGGGTTAGCTCATTATTAGCTATGATTTTAGTTCATAGTTATCTTTTTATTAAATGCACTTTTATGTTTTTAATGTTTCTTTTTATGGTGTCTCTTGGGTTTCCAAAAAGGGCTTTTGGAATCCCAAGAAAGGTGTTTTGTATTCCCATGCATGACTCCTTGGTTTCCTCCATGGTTTCATTGCATTTGCCCCATTGGATTCCGGCCGGCTGCTGGTTTCCCGTGCCTGGGCTCTTTCCCGAGGCCGTGGCCCCTTGGTTCCATGCGGCCTCCTTGTTTCCCACGGTGGCCGCTTCGGTTCCTGGTTTGGGTTGATTTACGTGAGCACTCTTCCTCATCTTTAGTCATTTTCGTCGGTAGAAGTCCGTCTCTATTTTTGTGATAAAAAAATATAAGGTCCCCTATATTTTTGTGATCAAAAAATATAGAAGTAGACACACAAGATGTTCTTTTCTCTTCTAGTCTTTGCTTTGTCGGTGTCGTTTCGTTCTATATTTTTGTGATAAAAAAATATAGTCACAAAAATATAGGGTCCCCTATATTTTTTGATCGCATCAAAGTTGGATAGTTGAAGTGGAGGAATGCATGGGGCTTATTGTGTGATAGAAAAGTATCACTCAAACATAAGGGAAAATTATATAAAATGGTGGTTAAACCTGCAATGTTTTATGCCGCATAATGTTATCCATTAAAAGAGAAGCGTGATATTAAGTTAAGTGTTGCATAGATGAGAATGCTCAAGTAAATGAGTGGCTTCACTCTTTGTGGATCATTTTCATTTGAAAATATTTGCATTTTGTAGATGAACCTTGTCAACTCCGTCAACTTATCGACATAGGATCGGGTTTCGTAGGCTTTATATCTTGGTTTAAGAATTTTCCTTATTATAGACATTGAAGGTCTAATATGAATGTATCAAAACAAATATATCGGTCGTCACAATTATATATTTATTTGATGGTTCAAACCCTATTGACTCCTAGCATATTTATTTGATGGTTCGAGCCGTGTCGACTCCTATCTATCCGCATAGAGGATCAGGCTCGGACTTGAATTCACTTATTAACCCGCGCAGCATTCCTAGACGTTACGTGTGTATCAATAATATGCTCGCCAGGGCCCATGCGGGTTGTGATTGCATTTACCCCTTTTGTGTACATATGTGTATACAAATTACGATGCACGTTCGGGGGTATTCTTGGAATATTTGTAAACGCCTTCTATATGCTTGCATAGATGTTGCGGATCTGGTGGCATGACGTATAGTTTGTAGACGCTTTGTCTGCTTGTACGAATGTTGTAGATCCGGTGGCGTGACGTATAGTTTGTGGACACCTTCTGTATGCTTGTATGAATGTTGCAGATCCGGTGGCATGACATATACTTTGTGGACGTCTTATGTCTACTTGTACGAATGTTGCAGATCTGGTGGAGTGACGTATAATTTTTGGATGCATTCTATCTGCTTGTACGAATGTTGCAGATCGGGCGACGTATTGTAGCAGCTTCTGAATTGAGTTGTTTGCTACTTTATACAAGTAGACTGTCGTGCACCACTTGTAGCTTTCTGTAGATGGATTATAGTGCACTAACTAGTCTCCTGCTTTTGAATATAGGTGAATCGTAGCGTTGTCACCTGAATCTTACGAGATATTTCATTATTTTGATACAGACTCCTTTTTCTCATTCACCGGGAGGTCTTTCTAGACTTTGAAATCAGAGACCACTACCTTGAAAAGAACTCATTTTAAGCTCTTTAATGTAGCAGACTTGTTATTTCTGGTGTTTGTGGATGAAAGGACTGTTTTCTTTTTAAGTATATAACCAAGAAGAAACTTTGGAACACTAGGAAGTTTAGTTCGAATTTGTTCAAACATCTCCCTCATTCTACCAGGAGGTGTCTTTTTTCGTACATCAAGTTGTCTTCGTACTCGACATACTCGCAGCATCTCAATCACCGTTATTGTAGGTGATACTTGTACTTGTGCCCACAGTGGTTCGCTGTGCTTACCATATACCCACTGTTATTATCCACAAGTAGCTCGTGTTTATTTACAAGGACCCGTTGTATCCACTACGACCTCCTGGAAGTGTTTGTAGAAAAGCCATTATTTCTACATCATATCCACCCTTTCACCAATCTCGGGTGGGTTGATGATTATACTTGTTCGTTAGGAACGAATCTTCCATTATCAAGTGTCGTATTGCCATCTCAATCTACAGGCAAAGTTGCTAGTGTTGGAGGTTTCACTAATGCACATGGGGGACACTCATGCATTCTACAATTATCTTATTATCTTTGCAAGTATGATGCATTTGACCTCGTAAGGACTCGTATGTGCTTCAAATGTATTGCATTGTGTATGTTTGTTAGAAGCTTTGTTGCTTGTAAATTTGAATGCATTTGTTCGTGTTTAAGCTTGCAAGTCTTCATCATTTGATTCAAATTTGAGTTCATTGAGTCTTGTTCAGTTTAGGTCCAATTTGGTCTGCAAGTTCAAGTCTGAATTTTGTTCAAGTCTCCTTTTTTGAAAGTTTAAGTTCCATATTTAGTCCATGCTTGAGTTCAAACTCGGTTCACATTCACTTGAGTCCACTGTGGTTCGTTCAAGTTCAAAAATCCACTGTTCTTTTGAGCTTAACATAGATTCTCTTTAAGTATTCATTGTAGTTCACTTGCAAGTTCAAATTTTTACTCAAAGTATTTTATATTTTATTTGATTCAAGTCCTTAAGTTCACTGTTCATTTGAGTCCAAATTCTTATTCTTTTGAGTTCAAATCAGGTCCGAGTGTAGTCGTTGTTGACCTGCGAATAAAAAAAAGGAGAGAGGAGGAGAGATCGTCCACACCATACCTGCTCTGCCGAAGCCGTCCATCGCACTTCGCCACCCACGTCCCACGTCGCTCGCACGTCGTCTGCACGACCTCCCCTATCGCGTTAAGTAGCGGAGGAATGAGAGAGCTGAGGCTCTCGCTCTAATCTCACGCACCTGATCTTTCCTCTCTCGAAATATCACCCTCTCACAGCGAAGTTCCCTCAGCTCCTTCGTTGTTGTGCGACTTTGCTCTTCAACGACTCTCCCTGCCTGTTGGAACGGAAGTTCCGACATTTAGTCGGAAGAAACATATAGAGCTCGCTTGCTGTGGAGATAACCCTCTTCATTCCCTTTGCTTCTCTTCGGCCGAATCCCGTGAAAGAGAGAGAGAGAGAGAGAAAGAGAGAGAGAGAGAGAGAGAGAGAGACTTCTCTCTAACCAAACTGAGCTCC